CTATACGTAAGGGATACAATATAGTTTAACAAAGACGAAAGTGAAACTTGCATGAGGACGCTTATCTTTTCAATCAATCAGGTGTCAGATCCTGGAACTAGAAAATGTCAATCAGCTAAAAAAAAGGCTAGGGTCAGCAGGGTTTTTTTCTACAGTCGTTTGGGAGACAAGAAACATTTTTTCTAGGCCTGAGCTAATTGGTTGGGGGACGTTCTCTTGGATGGCATGATACAATGCTTAATACATGTACCCACAAATACATGCACTAGTAATCGAACAGGCTTTTGACAGTTACCACAATGAATCCCCCTAATAAAATCACAAAACCCACTTCATTTTTCAATATCATTTACCATGGAGCAATTCTTTATCCACAGCCTCAAAAGAAGTCAACAACCCCTTAATGGCCTTGGCATAATCGCCGCATATTTATATCTCTTTATATACTGTGTTGGTGTTTAATACATAACAATTAGCACTTGGGCAAGAGTTTGTAAATAAAACTGTTCAGTCACACATTACAATAGCCTCTACCAGTCAGGCTTTGGGAGGCATTTGGAAATTGAAGAAATTGGCCAAATAGACAGATAACACGCAAGAGGAGTTGGGAGTCTCTTGGACCAAGGAGGTTCTAACTCCATGCTTGGACCATCTCCCTTTGCGTGTTATCTGTGACAGTGTCTATCTGCTGTTTCTAGCCGCCTCCAGAAGCCTAGTAGACAGCTATAACATAATACATTTGTGAGGAGACTGCTGACAATAGTTATTGTGATGCGTGATTAACCAGAACAAAAAAATAATACTAGTAATTAATGCAAAGTGGCCCACAACAGTCTTGCTAGACTTTCCTTCTATGTCGGGAAAAGATCAAAAGGTGTCGCTTGTGCACTGTACTTCACACTTGTGTGCGAGTACTTATCTGTTGATCTACATAATTTTAAATAATCATCGGCTTGCCTGAAGCCATCTTTTCAAATTCAAGCTGATTGAACCAAGGAGGTTTAACCTTCTTGATTGAACTGACGATTTCTGCCAACTGCGATTGTACAATAAAAGGAGCTATACCTTTGAAATTACAACGGGCCATTACGTACTGCAGATACTCTCTTGGCACGGAACAAAATGTATATGTACTTGTAGTTACTAGTATTTAGTACTCTCTAGCGGTCCAACTCCCCTGGCATGTTATCTCTCTATTTCAATTTTGGCCTATTTTAATCTCTCCTGCCACCAAGCCACCCCCGGAAGCCTGGTAGAGGCTAACGCGATGCACCACACGGACATCTGCTTTAGATTACGAACAGTTCCGGAGGGCGGCAGCGCGGGAGATTTGGCGGGAAAGGAGGCTAAAAATCTTACTCTCCAAGCTGAGGTTGATGGTTTGCTTTTTATATATGGCCCCCCTTTTTTTGTCGCTACCACCACCAACTTGGGTGGGGAAATGGTTACAGACTGGCCAATTTGATACTGTCATACCCCCACCAAAAGATCTGCTTGGAGATTATAAAATGTTGATATTAACCCCATACACACATAGTACCTTGGAAAAAAACAACAGCAGGCAGTTTTGCATGGAACCAAAATTCCTACATTATAGTTTAATTGGTTCCATGCCTGGTTGTGTGAAATGTGTAGCCTCTACTAGGCTCACAGGGTCATGCTTCAAAACACCTGGTCATGTACTGGAATATATACCAGCGGAGTTTTATACTGATATCAGACCAGAGGAGGTGAGTACAGTTTGAATCCATAGGAAGATGTGCTTACCGGCTTTCAGAGCTGCTTTGACGCCATCCAGGCAGCCGTTCTCGACAGCGTACAGCAGAGCTTCATTCGCATTTTGCGCCATGATTTCCGGCAGGGGACCGCTGGTGTTGTTGGTGTCGGAGTTTGAACTGAAGAACGTCAGAAGTGACAGGCGAGGGGGGAGTCACGTGACTTATTGTCCTGTCTCTTTTGAGTGGGCGGGGCTAGCCTCTAGTACCAGAAACGGTACATGCCAGGGCTGGGGAGTTGGAGTTGGTCCGCGGAAGGTCACAGCGGCACAATGCTGCAATGTCTCTGGTCACAGCTTGCCCCTCAGACTATTCTCATAGCGGGCCGAATTTACAGTACTATGTAATACTGGTAAAACTTGATTCTTTTTGCTGTCTCTTCCACATCAAAGTCTTGCCAGCTCCATTGATTAGGCCACAGCAAGTAATTTATATATGGATGACATCAACGCGCGCATTAATTCGCCTGAGTTGGAGAAAAAAAAAAAAGAAATGTTGTTGTCTTCTGAGAGTGGTCAACATGCCGAAAATGGGCAAAGATGTCTGTTGCCATGCCGGAAGGTGGAGGGCAGATAACTATGAAGAGAGGAGACAAGAAAAGACTCTGATTCAATATTTTGTTTCTTACTTTATGCAGTGATATGTGATACTGGCTGTGTATATGTGATGTTCCTACTGAATCAAAACCATTTATACCATGATTGAGTCAAAATTTTAAAATGTAGGAACCTTGTTTTTTTTCGGCCCGCCTTGTTTTTTTTCGCCCGCTCGCATTAGATTTGGAGTCTGCGGAGGATGTCATCCATAAAATTTACATGCTGTGGCCTAGTGACGACAAAACCCGATTCATTTCCCTGGACATTTGTGTCCAATCTGGACGGTTTGGGGCCCCGAGAAGGCACAGGTAGGACAGGGTGACCGTTAATAACAAAGTTTGATCACAAATTGTCCACCCCAGTAATACATGACACGGTAGCTGCCGTGTGCCGTATGCATGTAATATGATACAATTGTGGGTTGGGGACCGAGATTTCAACATGTCCTCCTCCGCGTGTGCAGTGTCTAAAAGAGTCCGGTCTAAAAAAAACCTCAAGGGACTACCGAAATAATGTCTGATTTGATTATTTCCCTTTCATCAATCCAATGTGATATAAAAAAAAAGATAGAGCAATTGCTCATTAGTGACAGGATTAGATTGGAAATTTGCGTAATCCGAGCTAAGGTCGGACGTGTACACTTTTCTTTTCCTGAGTACTGCGGTCAGGCACTGTTGGCATGTCAGACAGAGACCGACCGGCCAGCCAGGTGTGTCGGCCAAGCGCAGGCCCGACAAACAATCTCACCTGTTGCTAGGGATGACGTCACCTGGACGGGCAACTCCGGAGGGACGTCCCTAACTGAAGCTAGGAACTCATTTACACCTGATTGAAGTGTGGAAAGTCGTGTTCAGTTCCTTTCCCAAGGACACAAGATCGGTGGCAGTGGGCAGGATTCGAACCCAGGAGCTCTCAGGTCTGAGCCGATCATTTTACCGTTATGACACACAACCCAGGTTTGAACTGTAATTTCTAACACAAAAACCTGGAATCACACATTTTCCACTGCTTAACTTCAGTCCACAGACTTCAGTCTTTGTCGAAGAATATCGGATATCCTCTCCAAGCAGAAGTTTGGGGTTTGGGTTATTTTTGGCTTGTTTTTAAGACTTCTTTTATCAGCTTTTTATCAGACTTTTTATCGGTATTTCTTATTTGCACTGGAAGTTTTCTTTCACCAAACCCAAAATTGTGGGCACTAGCCACAATCTGGGGTTGGGTGAAAGAAAAATTCCAGTGCAAATAAGAAATACCGATAAAAAGTCTAAATAAATAAATAACACCAAGCAAAAAGTAACCTAATACCCAAACCTCTGCTTGGGGAGTACCGATATCCATCGACAACTGCAAAGACTGGAGTTAAAAAGTTTTTTTTTTACTTGAAATTGCAGTTCAAACTTGAGACTCCTACACAGATGAACCTTCAAGCTAGCAATTACCTTTCAAGTTACAAAGTTAGGAAAACGAATTACTTCAAAATGAAAGTTTTCAACCTAAACGCCTCTACTGCTACAGTATCTCTACTTTCATATGTCGATGAAGGTTAGACATCCAGGTAATACGATACGCCAAAAAGCAGTTACACAAGCAACTGGATATGATTTTGGAAACGGTCAAAATCATGACCGTTTCCAAAATCATACCCAGATGCTTTGTAACTGCTTTTTGGCGTATATCTACTTTCGCTTAGACATAAAAATCACAGACAAGTCGTTGTACATTTTCAACAGTTTATTGAGCACTGGGAGCAGGGTCCACCAGGACGAGTGTGAGTGTGTGCTGCCCGCCCACGCTGATGGTATGCAGTGGGCCGGGCAGACCCACCATGGGGACAGGAGCCGCAACCTCTGTTACTTCTTCACCAACACAGAGTTGGTTGCTGACTCCTGATCCCCAGGCGTATCCACGGCCTGTAGAAAATAAAGAAACAAACACATTAGACAGGCAGAAGTCTTACATTTGTGTAACTGGAATCACACAGACTGGGACGGTCATCTCATGTATTTAGGTTCAAAATATTTGTGCAGTTCAACGTGGCATTTTACGTATGATACAATCACGTAGTAGCCTGGGTACCATCCTGGTTAGTTACTGTTGGTGGGACCGACTGTGGTCGCTCCCACTAACCAGGATGGTACCCAGGCTACTCACGTAGAACGTTGGGTTGGTGGAAAAAGGAGTCCAGTCCGATTGGCGGAAAAAGCAGTCCAGTCCGATTTGGGGGTGGAAAAAGCAGTCCGGTGGTTTCTACGAAATTCTAACAAAGACCATAGGTACAATTCTTTTTTTTTGTGTGTACTTTGAGTTTCTATGGGTACTTAGAGTTTCTATGGGTACTTAGAGGTTCTATGGGTACTTAGAGGTTCTATGAGCACTTAGAGTTTCTATGGGTACTTAGAGTTTCTATGGGTACTTAGAGGTTCTATGGGTACTTAGAGGTTCTATGAGTACTTAGAGTTTCTATGAGTACTTAGAGTTTGTATGACTTTTGTATTGGAACTTCGAGTTTCTATGGGAACTTCCCATACGAACAAGTTCCTATACAAACTCTAAGTGCTTACAGAAACTCTAAGTACCCATAGAAACTCGAAGTTCCCATACAAACTCTAAATACTCATACAAATTCTAATTTCCCATACAATCTGTAAGTTCCCATAGAAACTGTAAGTTCCCAAACAAGAAAAGATTGTACCTATGGTCTTTCGTAGAATTTCCTAGAAACCACCAGGCTGCTTTTTCCAACCCCAAATAGGACTGGACTACTTTTTCCGCCTATCGGACTGGACTCCTTTTTCCACCAACCCGTAGAACGTGTGTATGGGGACTCACCTTGACTGGTCCAGCAAAATGACTGCCTGGGGCCGGCCGCGACCTGCTTGATGTTACTTGGCAGGCCGGGAACAGGCCGGGGGGAGCCGAGTGGTTGTTTGGAGATGACTCCCGTTCCAGCCTGTCCGCTGTAGCCGTCACCCCAGCAAAAGACGGCTCCTATAATCCAAAACAGGAAAGAAAATCAGTCAAGAACCTTTTACGCTAGATACACAAAGGATAGCAGTTGCAGTCAGTGGTCATAGATATTAAATCTTTACTCCTGGAAGCTGAACATTGGTATAACAGGTGTACGACGTGCAATAGCTTTACAATTGAAATTGAAATACCTTTATTGTACATTCATGCCACGACTGGCTAGGTACAGGTCAAGATACTGAGTATGACAGACACTTAACAAACGTATATAGAAAATTGGAGACAAAAGATGCACTACTTGACTTATACATACATACATAAGGAACATACAAGGGTACTATACTAGGCTAATACATAGTGTTCTAGTCACTGAGCTAATACAGACAGGTCAACTTCTTCTCGCTTTTTTGTACAGTGGAAAATGTGGGAGCAGATCATGTTTGTGATACAGGGTTTGTCTAGACGCATCAAAAATATAAATTTATCATTTGCGCTTAGGTGTTCAAAGTATGGGAACTTCTCTTTGATATAATTAAAAAGGACAGATCTTTCATTAGAATATAAAGTACAGTCTAAAATAAAGTGTTGTTCATCTTCTATTCTATTCATGTTACAATATTGACAGAGTCTGTTCTGGAGAGGAATGCGGTTGTGCCGTCCCGTTTCTATGAGTAATTTGTGGCAACTTATTCTGAGTTTAGTTGCAGCTATCCTGTGTTGTATGTTGTTAACCGATAGGTACTCTTCTTCTTTATATATAGTTTTAAACAAACGGTACGTTCGTAACTTGTTACTAGAAGATGTACCTCTGTTATGGTCATTGTGCATTTCAGTGATAAATGTTTGGGTGTAAATATCTTTCAATCGTTGGCTGATGGAGTTAATTATTGGTGATAGGTTTGTGCTAAGAGATATATCAGGTCGCCATACGTAAGCAAAACCGCATTCCTCCAAAGTTTTACGAATACCGGACGCCCAGCATTTATTGCCGCTAGTCTCTAGTTGTAGTTGACATGAGAGGGCGTCCGCTTGCAGACTGTCAGCTGGCACGTTTTGGCGTATACGAGGAAATACTT